GAACACTTAAGCTTATCTGAACATGGTATTACAAAAAGACTAAACATACGAAGATTGTTCGGAGAATTTGACTTAAAACATAACATGACTCGATATGGTTACTCACACGACCGCAACGACAAGCGACACGCATACAAGCTTAAACTGAAAGCTGAACTGAAAGAACATGATAAAACTCGGCTTACAATCACACAGGAATTACCTCCGACTAAGCTCGAGTGACAACACTCCTCGGATTTCCCGTGTTCGGCCATAACCTTCCGCGTGCGTGTTGCCGTGTGGTGCGTGTGTTCTCGGTGTTTGCGTGCTCCTGATTGCCGTGTGGACTGCAGCTACTTGCCGTGCATGTAACACTCAAGAACTATACTAACTCTCTAACTCCCTAATACATATAATAGGTGCTGAAATATATAGAGGAAAAATGAGGCCAATTTCTCCAAATTATACATATATATAAGGTGGTGGCCGAATGGAGTTAGGGAGGTGTATGGGTTTAGCTAATGACACTTGTGGCAAAGTTAAGCCTTCTTAGGGTGACTAATCACCCTTAAAGATTGCCACCTCATCTTACTAAATAAATATAAAAACTCCCAAAATGTCCACTTACAAAAATAGCTACGACCATAATAGAACAAAAGAAAGAATTTGGACAATTTGGACAAATTACATACGGCCCTTAATCCTTAAGCGTGATTAATTAATAATTAATCACCTCCTTATACTTAATTAATTATTAAGCATAATACTTAATTACCAAAATTATTCCGAACGTAAACAGAACGTCGAAAATAATTTTCAGTAATTTCGACTGAACTGACTGAAATAATTAATTCCGAAAATTAATACTCGACAATATTAATATATCGGAACTAAAAACATGATTTATACTGATAAACTGACGGGATATTACAATCCTCCCTCCTTACAAATTTCCGTCCTCGGAAATTCAAAACATAACTGAGTATATACTGAACTATGTACATAGAACAAGAAAATATGTACATCAAAACTGAAAATCTGGAAAACGAGCGTGAATATCGGACTCTGCCTCCCAAGTAGCTTCGTGGCGAACCCACTGAATACGCACGAGGGGAACATCTCGCTTCCAGAGCCGACGGACTTGACGGTCTAGTATGCTATCGGTCGCTCCTCGTACGAAAGATCTGGCTGAACCTGAATATCTGAATGAGGAATGACATGATCGGGGTCGCATACGTACTTACGCAACATAGATGCGTGGAACACATTATGAATGCCTGATAACTCGGAAGGTAGGGCTAATCGATACGCGACCTCGCCCACTCGCTCGAGAACCTCGAACGGACCGATGAATCGAGGGTGCAGCTTCCCTCTCTTTCCGAATCGAACGACTCCGCGAATCGGACGAACTCTGAGAAAAGCTGGCTCGCCAACCTCAAACTGAATATCTCGTCGATGATGATCAGCTGAAGATTTCTGTCGACTCTGAGCTGTCTTGAGTCTCTGCCGGATCAACTCGACCTGATCTGCTGTCTCCTCGATCAACTTGGGACCGAGTACTCGTCGCTCTCTGACGTCGTTCCAATAAAGAGGGGAACGACACTTGCGACCGTAAAGTACCTCGTAAGGAGCCATCTGAATGGAAGAATGATAGCTGTTGTTATACGCGAACTCGGCGTACGGCAACAACGACTCCCACTTAGCACCCCTGTCAACAACTAAAGCGCGAAGCATATCCTCAAGCATCTTAATAGTCCGCTCTGACTGACCGTCTGTCTCCGGATGATAGGCTGAACTGAACTCTAACTTCGTGCCCATCGCCTCGTGTAAATTGTGCCAGAATCTGCTGACGAATCTGGGATCTCTGTCAGATACGATAGTCACGGGCACTCCGTGGAGTCGAATGATCCCACGGGTATATATCTCAGCCAACTTATCCAAAGACATCTTCATCGAAACGGATAAGAAATGAGCGACCTTAGTCAATCTGTCGACCACGACCCATATAGCGTCGTGATGTTCAGACGACCTCGGTAATCCCGTAACGAAATCCATCGTGACTTCCTCCCACTTCCACCTCGGAATCGGCAGTGGCTGCAGAAGGCCGATCGGACTCTGATGTTCGGCTTTGACTTGCTGACAGGTAAAACACCTCCTGACAAACTCGGCGACGTCCTTCTTCATGCCTCGCCACCAGAATGACCCTTTCAGGTCGTGATACATCTTCGTGCTCTCGGGATGGGCTAGATAGGGTGCAGTGTGAGCCTCGCTCCTTCCGCAACGCCTCGACTTTCGGGACCACGATCATGCCTCTGAACTCTAGGGCACCATCGGCACCTAGCTGAAAACCCTCGACGCCTCCGGCGCGAACCTTGGATTCCATAACACGAACGAACTCGTCAGAAGCCTGCTCTCGCCGGATTCTCTCTCTCAGCGTCGGCTGAATCTGCATGGCACTGACACTGGCATTGACACTCCCTGAAATGACTGTGGGAAGTGCATTGATCGCCTGAAGCTGCATCCGGGCAAACTCCTGAATCAATGGACTTTGCTGAGTAATGACGTACGTCAAGTCACTCCTCACCTTTCGGCTTAGGGCGTCAGCAACGACGTTCGCCTTCCCCAGATGATATTGAATAGAGCAATCGTAATCTTTGACGAGCTCTAACCAACGGCGCTGTCTCATGTTGAGCTCCTTCTGAGTAAAAATATACTGCAGGCTCTTATGATCTGTGAAAATCTCACAATGACCGCCGTAAAGATAGTGTCGCCAAATCTTGAGAGCATGAACGACAGCTACGAACTCCAAGTCGTGCGTCGGATAATTCTGCTCATGCGGCTTAAGCTGACGTGAAGCATACACAATGACCTGACCATCCTGCATAAGGACACATCCCAAGCCCTGTCTCGGAGCATCGCTGAAAATGGTGAAACTCCGAGAAGGATCGGGAATAGTCAACACCGGTGCTGAAGTTAATCTTTTCTTGAGCTCCTGAAAGCTCGACTCACATTGGTCAGTCCACTCGAACCTCACAGACTTCCTCGTTAGCTGGGATAGAGGGAGGGCGATCTTGGAAAATTCCTCGATAAACTTGCGATAATAACCAGCTAGACCGAGAAAACTGCGAACCTCGGACGGACTCTTCGGTGTCGACCAGTTCTGAACAGCTGAGACCTTGGAAGGATCCACCTCGATACCTGTCTGAGTAATCACATGACCCAGAAAGGCTACTCGCTGGAGCCAGAACTCGCACTTGGAGAATTTTGCAAACAACTTTTCTCGTCTGAGGGTTTCGAGAACCACCCTCAGATGCTCCTCGTGCTCCTTCTGGCTCTTCGAGTAGATAAGAATATTGTCAATAAAGACAATAACGGACTGATCGAGGTAGGGATGGAAAATACGATTCATGAGGTCCATGAAAACTGCTGGCGCATTGCTGAGACCGAATGGAATGACGACGAACTCGTAATGGCCGTAACGAGTCCTGAAAGCGGTCTTAGCAATATCTGACTCCTTAATCTTCAGCTGGTGGTAGCCTGATCGTAAATCAATCTTTGAGAACACACAGGCTCCCCTCAACTGATCAAATAAGTCGTCGATCCTGGGAAGCGGATACTTGTTCTTGATCGTCAACCGGTTAAGATCCCGATAGTCGATACACATGCGCATGGATCCGTCCTTCTTCTTAACAAAGAGAACGGGTGCTCCCCAAGGTGACACGCTCGGTCGGATGAAACCGAGTCGTAACAGCTCCTGAATCTGAGTCTTAAGCTCCTGCAACTCCTTTGGTGCCATACGGTATGGGGCTTTGGATACTGGACTGGCTCCTGGAATGAGATCGATAGTGAACTCTACCTGTCGGTTAGGCGGTACTCCTGGAAGCTTGTCTGGGAACACGTCCACAAACTCACGAACGACTGGAACATCGTGAGGTGAGCGTGCTTTCTGAGAATCATCAACAAGGCTCACCAGATAACCCTGGCAGTTGCCTCGTCGTAGCAACTTACTGGATTTCGCCATCGAAACAACATGAGGCAATGAACGATTCCTGGATCTAAAGAAAGTGATCGAGTCATCTCCCGGAAGATAAAGAGTAATTTTCCGGTCATGACATCTGATATCTGCATGATAAAAGGATTGCCAATCCATTCCGAGAATAAGGTCGAAGTCCCTCATCTCGAGAACAAACGCGTCGGTAGACAATACTCGGCCACCGATGGAAAGGCTAAGATCTGAAGCTTTAGCTGAGGTCACTATCTTTCATCCCGAGGCCAAACTCACCTCGAGAGGATCGATAGCGGTAGTAGCGCGAACTCCGATGGCATCAAGACATCAGCGTAAAATGAAAGAATGTGTCGCTCCAGTATCAAACAAAGCAAACACAGGAACATTATTAAGCACAACCATCCCTGACATAGTACCTGGCTGCTGCATGGCCTCTGCCTGATCAACTGCGTAAACTTGGGCCTCCTGTCTGCCCCTCTGCTGCTGCTGCTGAGGCGGCCTCTGTGCCTGCTGACGTGGCTGCTGCTGCTGCGGCGGCTGCTGAGGCTGCTGGGACTGCTGTGCCTCCTTCGGACATCGGTTCGCGAAGTGTCTGGGCTCGTGACAGTAGTAACATACATCCTGACCAAAGCGACACTCGCCTCGGTGAAGTCGTCCCTATGTCAGGCACTGTGGGATCTGCTGTAGCCTCCGCCGGGTCCTCTTGTCCATTGGGGCACCTTTCCCCTTCCTCTTGTTGTTCTTCGGTGGCTGGGCAGCTGGTAGAGCTGGCATCGGTGGAACTGAAGATGACTGAGCAGGGGCGGATGGCTGAGAATGATCACGAATGGCCTCCCTCCTGATGCTGGCGTCCACCTCCTGAGCAATCGAAACTGCACGAGCATACGTCTGTGTCCCGTGGCCTACGATGTTATGACGGACTGCTGGGTAAAGCCCGTCAATGAAACGCTGTGCTCTCTGGGCCTCTGTGCGAACCAAATCAGGAACGACAGCTGCAAGTCTAGTGAACTCCCTCTCATACTCGTCAACAGTACGAGTACCCTACTGGAGCGATAGAAACTGACGCTCCATCTCTGCTCGGTAGTAGGTGGGATAGTACTTCTCACGGATCAGCTCCTTGAGCATCTCCCATGTACATCCCGCCTTCTCGCCAGGACGCATGTGTTGGTGTTATATACTTAAGCTTTGCTTTAGTGGATATTACACTTGTTATT